AAATATGTTTTGTTCATCTTTCTTTTCTTTTTTTTTTTTTTTTTGAGACAGAGTCTCATTTAGTTGCCAGGCTGGAGTGCAGTGGTGCGATCTCTGCTCACTGCAACCTCCACCTCTTGGATTCAAGTAATTCTCATGCCTCAGCCTCCCGAGTAGCTGGAATTACAGGCACGTGCCACCACACCCAACTAATTTTTGTAATTTTAGTAGAGGCGGGGTTTCACCATGTTGGCCAGGATGGTCTCGATCTCGCAACCTTGTGATCCACCTGCCTTGGCCTCCCACGTCTTTTTTTCTATTTCATGAGGCAATATCATACTGTGGTAGTTGTTGTAACTTTGTAGTGTACTTCATGCCAGTTGGTGTTCTTTCTTTCCTTTCTAGGTTTTCTTGATTATTCTTGTGCATTTGTTCTTCCAGATGGAACTTTGCCAAGTTGCAAGACTTTTAGTGAGGCTTTTAAATTTGAAAATAATTCTGTTCAATTTATGAGCTAATTTGGAGATAATTTATGTTTTTACAGCATTGATTACCTGTTTATACACATAATATATATTTTCATTTATTCAGACTTTCTTAAATGCTGTTCAGTAAAATTTTACAGTTTTGTTCATATAGGCCTTATGCTTTTCTAAGTTTGTTTTGAGATTTTGTAGATTTGTTGCTATTGTAAGTAAATTTTTTTCATCACTGTTGTTAAATTATTTTGCATGTTCTAGGTAGACTGTTTAGTCCTATCTGTAAGTTATGATTTTTTCCTAAGCCAAAATCTGTTTCTCTTAATTTTGTTACTCTAATTTTTGACCAAAGTCTCTAGAATAATTTCCAAATTGAAAATACTGTAATATTTTTCTCAGTATAATTTGAATTATTCTAGGGTTTTGCCATTAAGTGTGGTGTTTGCTGTTTTGTTTTACATAGAAAATTGAGGACATTGCTTTTTGTATCTAGTTTTCCTTTGTTTCTAGAATTAGGAAAAATCAGGCCACAAGTCTCATTTTGAACAAGTCTTCCCACAAGTCTTCCATTTTCAACTTCTGCAGTGTCTAGGTTCCAGGAACAGGAATAGGGGATAGGAGTCCATATGTTACCATGCTGGTAAGGAAGGCTGTTTGCTCTACACCTAGCTGTGCTCTCTGCTTAGCACCCCACCTAGTACCCCAGCAGCCTGGAAGTTCTAGCCTTGACATTACAAGGAGGCCTGAATGGGCACGCCCCAGCCTTACCTAGGTAAGGAGCCACATTCTGCCTCTGCAGTGACTACCTGTCTCTGACAGATGACCCTTTCTCACAGGGACTGTCATCATTAGTCATGTGGATGGTAGTTTAGACATTCTAGTGCATAATATGGAATAATAATAATTATACCTGACATATTAAATACTTACTGTGTGCCAGACACTGTTCTATTTCATATGTAATCATCTTTTAATCTTAAAAAAACTCATGAGGTAGGTATTATGAATACCATTTTACAGATGAGAAAACTAAGACAAAGAAGGGGCTTAATAACTTGCCCAGGGTCACACAACCTAGTAGATATTGATTATGAATGCTCAGTAAATGATGCAAGGATGATAATGATTGGAGACAATTAGAAAGTGTACCTATTCAGAGTATTTGATTCTGGAAGCTTGTAAGTGAATAACGTATCGAGAAAATAAGCATTACACCCTGACAATGTCAGGTAAATGAGGTCTTGACTTTGACTTCACAGAAATTTATCTAGCAGCCAAATTGGCTGTTAATTGAAAATGGATCTGGGAAGAGGGCCTCAAAGGCATAGAGAATAACAATTTATCACATAAAAAAAGAGAAGGAAACCTTTCTAAATGGAATTGTCAAGCATGTATACGTCCAAGGAAAAAGATTTTAAAATGTTAATATTCCAGAAAAGAAGTCAAGTTTTTGGTTTCTGTATTTGTTTCTGAGGCTTCCAAGAGACTAGGATTCAGTGTTTTCATTTGTCACGTAGAATTAAAGGGTAAAACCTACATTGAACCCAGTTATGGGAAGGTAAATGGGAAAGAGCTATATTTCTGAAGCTGAAATTAAAGTGTGTTTTTGCTTCATTTGATAGGAAAACAGAAATCATAGTTTTTCAGTAATCAACAACACTTGTCAGTTTTTCTTTTTGAGATGTGTATTTTTTTCCCACCACCATTTTTTAACCTCATGCCTAAATATAATACAATAGCCTTTTAACTGGTCTCTTTGCTTCTTGTGTTTTGTTGTTGTTGTTGTTTTGTTTTTCTTTATCCATCCTGACCTGGTTGATAAGTGAAGTTAAAATGTCTATTGTATTATGACATATCCCTGGTTTAAAAACATTCTTGATGTTCACTTAACAGGTTTATTTAAAATTGGATGTATTTTTGGAGGCAAAATCATTGTTTAAAGATTTTAAGCTTCATGACTTCTTCCTGCTTACTTTATTAATTGTTTTTGGTTTTGTTTTTGTTTTTTGAGACAAAGTCTCACTGTCTTGCCCAGGCTGGAAAGCAGTGGCACAATCATGGCTCACTGCAACCTGGAGTTCCTAGGCTCAAGTGATCCTTCCCCGCTTCAGCCTCCCAAGTAGCTGGGACCACAGGCACATGCCACCATACCTGGCTCATTTTTTAATTTTTCATGGAGACTGGGTCTCCTTATGTTGCCCAGGCTAGTCTCCAATTCCTGGGCTCAAGCAATCCTCCTGTCTCAGCCTCTCAAAGTGTGGGATTACAGGCCATACTGAGCCACTGGGTCCAGGTGATCTGCTTAATTTGAGTAAAGAGACGAACATACTAAAACCCAATTCTAGCTAGGGTAAGCAAAGGAAATATTCTAGAATATCTGTAGTTATATATGGAACCTACAGTAAGTTGGAAACTTTGTCTTGGAATTGGGCAGGAACAAAGCATCTTGGAGGTCAGGAAGCAGAAACTATTAATAGCTCTCCTGCAGCAGGAGCAGTTGTGTTAGCTTCTCATCTGCTCGGATGGAATGATCAGAAGTCAGTTTCCATATCTTTAGCCCTCTGCTCAAGATACCAGCTCCAGAGAGGGAGCATCTGCTTGCTTTTGCTAGCCTTGCCTTCCTTACCTGCTCACCCTTGGTACCAGGAGCATTCATGGGTTGGTCTGTTTCTAGTCTGTAGTTGTTTTTTGTTAAATTTGACATTATGAGCAATGTAGATAGTTTTGGATTGTGCTTAAAAGCCAGCCCATCCCTGACAGTGGAAGGAAAAATAAAAATAAATTTTTCTCTCTCTCTGTCTCATTTGTACGTAGAAACAATAGATTCATGAAAAAGCCTCTACTCTGTCTGATATCTCGCTGACATGCAGAATTTTGTGCTTCAATATATTCATTTTCAACACGGAGTATTTCAAAGAACATCTGTATCTTACTTAGCAACTGGTTTCTTCCCCCAACTAATTTCATTTTTCATGTCATTAATGGGTTTTGTGTATGACTCCACCCTGTGGCATAGAACAGATATGAATATATATATTCACATAGATATGTCATGAATCTATATGCATATGTAGGTGCATATATATGTAAACACTGTAATGGTTTTATGTGGCATAATTTGTCAATTTTTCATTTTTCAGTCTGATACATCATGACCCCTGAATCTCTTTTCTCTAGCTTTCTTGTATTTCTGGGCCTGAGAAACATAAACATCATTTTTAGTTTCTTGGTATTCATCAGGCCTGTGGGATGGAATAACTATTATAATGTAGAGTAAAAGCTCATCAGGTTTTATGTCATGGGACAAATTACCTTTGTTTCTCACCCTTCTAATCACAGTTGGGGAGTTATGGGAGATGCTGAATTGGAATTCTGACATTGGGCAGTGTGTTCTTCTCTGGGAAACTAGAAGTTGTTTTTCTGCCAGGATAACATTTGGTTTCTGGGTACCATGTGTGTCCTCCCTTCACCCTGACTCTGATCTAAATACTGATTGAACATACTCTAGGTAGTAATGATTTGGTATAAGAGATATACTACTTTCAGCGTTGTCTTCACAACTGTTTGCCCTTCTAAAATTATCCCCTATTTTTCTACTATTTTGATGACTGAATGAGTACTTTCCAAAGATGATAAATGCAAGTTAAAAGCCAAAGTAGTAAACTTGTGGGTGTGAAGTCTGTGTTCCTTCTGACCTGTAATCCGATTCTTATAATTTGCCTAAAATTATAGTAAGTTGAAAAATGTATGCAGAAAGTTCATTTTAGCATTCATTATTTAGTGAAAATAGGAGAACAACCTAAATCTGTAGCAATAAAGTATCAAGTTAGTAAATTATCTGTAGACAAAAGAATATTATGCAGACATCAAAAAAAAGGCATAGTTTTATGTTTATTGATTTGCAAGGATGTTTGTGATACAGAATAATGTCTGTGATGTATTATTAAATAAATAAAAAGCAAATTGTAGAGCAGAATTTTTATGTTCCCATTTATGCAGAATTATATACTTATTTCTGCATGTGTATTCATGGAGCACTGTCTGGGAAGTATGTTAAAACGTTGGTTATAGCTAATGGCAGATTTGGAGATTTCTTTCCTTGCTAATTACTCATGCTTGGAACCAATACTATGATATTGAAATGTATCTGTCCCTTTTTGGTGATTTTTATACCATATTAATGTAATTTTTAAGAAATTTTAATATTTAACATTTGTGATTAATAATTATGGCTCTTGGATGATCTCTTTTTTAATTTTTATGTTACTGAGCCTGCAAAACACGAAGATCACAGTTGGTTTCTTAATATTGACTCTGCCACATTTCAGTATCTTAGTATTTTAATTATGTCCTTAGCTTATGTCTTATTAGCACCTCTTCCTTAGCTTATATATTTTCTAAGTATAGGAGCTGCATTTGTTAAAGTCTATCTGTATATTACCTAGCATAGCATGTCTTGGAAGTAAACATTCTGTTTTGAATCCTCAAAAGTGAGATATATTCCCACTAATTTTGTAACAAATCATTTTGTACTCCATTTAGGTGTAGAGTTCGGTGCTCGAATGATAACTATTGACGGGAAACAGATAAAACTTCAGATATGGGATACGGTAAGTATAGAAAAAATGCACTGTGTGATCTCAGTAAAGTTGCTTTATGAAAGTACATTGTACGTTTGTTTTAATGTTATTATATGCCTGTTTTGGTTTGTTAGACACTAACTTCCTGCAGCCTTGTGGTGAAATGTGGTGCTGGAGTAGATTGGTTTTTCTTATGCGCTGTTTTCAATAGATGGGCCCCGGGTGTTGGTGTTAGTGAGCATATCTGAGTGAATGCTCATGTTTTGTGGTCTAAATTGAAATGCTCTAGAAACTGTATTTTTAAGAAAAACAATCAGCGTGTCTCAAGTACACGTAGGAAGTAAAATAAGAATATCAATATTATACAATAACTTATTCTTCAAGCTTATTATTTTAAATATTTTGGTCCTAACAACTTTAAGTCATGTTGCTCTTAATCCATTATCCTAATTCTGTCATACCCGTGTTCATTGAGTACCTGTTATATGCCATACAATATTGTTTTTAATCGTGATTCCTCATCTGAACCATAATATACAGAAAATGATTTGAGTGACTGTTTTCTCTATTCTCCCATTTTAGATGCATAAAAGTGAAGTGACTGTATTATATACATTGGGTGGCTTAAGGTAGCAATTTTCAAACCATTTTGTTTCAGAACTGCTTTATACTTTTAAAAATTAATGAAGACCCCCCAAAGAGCTCTAGCTTATATGGCTTAAAGGTATTAGTATTTACCATATTAGAAATTAAAAATGGGAAACGTATCAAATATTCAATCATTAATTCATTTTAAATTAATAAATTACTTGTTAGGGTAAATAATACAATTGTAATGGAAACTATATTTTCCAAAACAAACAACTATATTTTTCTAGTGAGACTAGTGATATCTGTCTGCTGAATAGAAGACACTGGATTCTCATATCTGCTTCTGCACTGAGCCTTACATATGTTGTTTAATTGAAGTATGTTAAGAAAATCCAGCCTCACACAAATAGTCAGTTGGGAAATGGAGGACCACATGGACCCTTAAAGAGTCTGAGGAATTCCCAGAATCCTCGGATCACACTTTGAGAACCACTGCTTTAGGGCATTAGGAGATAATTCTTCACAGAACCCCAGTTAAGAAAACCTGAAAGGTCTCCTGTTGTGTCAAAGACCATATTCTCTAAACCAGTAAATGAGATATAAATCATCATATACCTGTGGCCTATTTTTCTTCAGTCACTCAGTCTTAGTTTCTCACTTGTCATGTGTAGTAGCCATTGAAAGAAGGAACCTTAGAGAACATCCAGTCTCACAGACTGGATTCCCTAGACCAAGCAAGTTACTGAAGGCTGCTGTGGGACCTGGGTTTCCTGATCTTCCTATGTGTCACAGTTGTCCCCTAAATGATAACCCTACATGTCTGTCTTGTCCTGTCCTTGAATTGTCCACTCAACTCTTGGTTCTTGTGCTTTTTTGCCTCTTCTTCCTCAGTGAAGATTCACACTTTTACTATTTCTTAGGGATTTCCCATGTGAGCCTAAAGCATCTCAAAACTTTTGATTTGCATTCTCTCAGGCAACATCTCAAAACTGTGTGGAAAAGAGGAAAATAAAATACACAAAGTCCCTTTTTTCCTAGAAATTTAAAATTAATAATCTCCAACCAAAAAGAAGTATATTCTACTTCTGTATTAAAAGAGTTTCTCTCTTCTTGTTTTTGAGACAGGGTGTCTGTCACCCAGGCTGTAGTGCAGTGGCGCAATCATAGCTCGCTGCAGCCTCGAACTCCTGGGCTCAAGTAGTCCTCCCACTTCAGTCTCCTGAATAGCTGGGACTACAGGCGTGCACCACCACACCCGGCTGAGTTTCTGTCTCTTATTCAGAACTGATTTACATAAACTAAGTTACTCTTTTTAGCTTATAACCTTGTGTAACACACATCTTTGCATTGTGTAGTGTGAACCGGACTACTGTTATTCTTCAATAAACATATTTTTCATTTCTTATATTTTTGCATAAATACTTGCATTGCTTAAAGTGCCTTTTTTTTTCTTTTCCATTTAAGGCAACTAAGATATCAGCTCTTTTTGAAGCCTTTTTGACCCTCATGGGAATAACTTATTCTTCCCATAGTATTTTGTGCATATATCTCTTGTAGTTCTGGTCCCATTGTCATAGCTTTTTGTTCACATTAGCTACCCTTCTTAGAATAAGCATTATGAGGGAAGGATCCACCTATATCTTAGGCAGCTTTGTATCCTGCATTCTTAGCTTGGTGACTGATACATACAGCGTTTGGTAAATTTTAATGAATGAATAGAGAATCTCATTCTGTCTAAGCAACTTGTAGGGTCACTGGATGTGTTCAGGAGATGTCATCTACTAAATTAAAGTACATAGTTTTGAAAAGGAAAGGTTAATATAGTAATGATAATTATGTGATATTTTGGGCATAAACCACCACTTCATTGTCTGTAGGTTATTTTATTCACTTGTTCTTCTATTCTTAAAGTAGTCCCTTAAATAATCTTTGTTTTTTGAAACTTGAGTAAGCCATTCATTTCCTAGTTGTCTGTTTTGTAGATTAACTCATCATGCATTCTTTTGATAGAAGCCTGGTTTTTTGTGGGTGTTTTTTTGTTTTTGTTTTTGCTTGAGTTGATTTCTTTGCACAACAATAAACTTACAAAAGAAATCTAAAATAATTTCTTTTGCTGGACAGTATGAGAAGGGAATAGAAGAAAAACCCGTGTTTGTGTTCTTCTAGGAGGGCAGAGGGCTCGTTTTCTTTCCTCTATTTCTGAGAGAGACTGTGGTCCCTTTAAAGACATCATAACGCCCAAGAAAGAATTCGACCACTTCCAACTTCTACATGGAGAGCTCCCGAGCGAAATGCCTGATCCAGATTTAAAGGACTGTTTAAAATAATTTAACTTATTTCTTTTGGAGGTTGTTTCTTGAGTCTTTGTCTTTCTTACAAGTTTTCCTCTTTTGTTGGGTTTTTTCTTTGTTTTTGGTTTTGGTTTTGAGACGTCTTACTCTGTTGCCCAGGCTTGAGTGTAGCGGCATGATCACAGCTCACTGCAGCCTCAAACGCCTGGCCTCAAGCAATCCTCCCACCTCAGCCTCTTGAGTAGCTGGGACTACACGTGCATCCCACCACGTGCAGCTAATTTTTTAAATTTTTTGTAGAGATGGAATCTCGTTATGTTTCCCAGGCTGGTCAGGCTTTTCTCTTATTTTCATTGACTTTATTCTTACTTTCATACCCAACTTCCAAAACTTTTTAATAAATGTAATCTAATACACATTAAGATTGGTCTCACACTTAGTTTATATCTGAGTGAAACAGGATTTTCCATACCATTAATGTGTGTCTATACATTTGGATAGCCATTTGCATTTTTGGTAGCAAGGGTTACATCTATTCATGGCCCAAGATGTTTACAAAACCATCCTAGAGTCCTTCAGGGGAAAATTAGCCAAATGTTGTTATTTGTTTCATCAGCCTTATAGAACTGAAGTTTTCTTAGTATCTTAGTCTTTTTTTTTTTTTTTTTAGACGGTGTTTTACTCTTGTTGCCCAGGCTGGAGTGCAATGGTGCGCAATCTCAGCTCACTGCAACCTCTGCCTCCTGGGTTCAAGTGATTCTCCTGCCTCAGTCTCCCAAGTAGCTGGGATTACAGGCCTGGCTAATTTTGTATTTTTAGTAGAGACAGGGTTTCTCCATGTTGATTAGGCTGGTCCCGAACTCTTGACCTCAGGTGATCCACCCGCCTCAGCCTCCCAAAGTGCTAGGATTACAGGCGTGAGCCACTGCGCCTGGCCTACAGGATGTTTGTCATTTTTATCTTCAAAAAATTTAAGGAGTTTTCCTTGCAAAATTTTCACATCCACCACCTTTGCTTTCTTTTGCAAATAGTTAGGATAGCTGACAGCAGATACTCCTTGGAGGCCTTAAGGCCGTCAATCAATTTCACAGCTGGAAGCAGTGATAAGAGTCTATCAGTGTGGCTCACGCCTGTAATCCCAGCACTTTGGGAGGCCGAGGCAGACGAATCACGAGGTCAGTAGATCGAGACCATCCTGGCTAACACGGTGAAACCCCGTCTCTGCTAAAAATACAAAAAATTAGCCGGGCGTGGTGGCAGGTGCCTGTAGCCCCAGCTACTCGGGAGGCTGAGGCAGGAGAATGGCGTGAACCCGGGAGGTGGAACTTGCAGTGAGTCAAGATCGTGCCACTGTACTCCAGCCTGGGCAACAGAGCAAGACTCGGTCTCAAAAAAAAAAAAGTCTATCAGTGCCTCCCTTAAAGCACTGACACTTGGCCCTGTACTGAGTTCCTTTTTTTTCATTTATTAAAAGCCAAAGCCAAACTGTAAATATTATTCTTCTGCCAGGGGAATTCAGAAAAAAAAAATATGTTGCCCCCGGTTCTGTTCATTGGCAGAAAAAAGGCAGAGGTGTGTTCTCACTGTTAGACCCAAGCCATTACTGCCTCGTCCTGCTCTTGTTCTTTTTCTCTTACTTTTTCTCTTGCCTTCTATCACTCTTTCATTTGCCTTCTAGCATATCCAAATACATTTGATTTCCCAGCCCCTCCAAAAAAATTTGTAATATGAATGTTTTAGTTCAGTTCATTTATCTACTCAGCTTCCCTGGAAATACTTGTTTTACATATCTTATATCAAGTAAGAGTTAGTGAGACTTTTGACAAAATTATATGAAAACTAACATGCTAAAGTTTCTTCTCAGCAAATCACAGACATTTTTTTCTCCTTTGAAAAAAAGTGTTACTTTATACTCTTGACATATTATTTCTAAAAATTGAATATTGTTTTGTTTGAATGCATCAGTAAGGATGGATGACCAGATGCAGTGAGCCAGGGAGAGGACCTGGAATCCTGAAGGCTGGAAACAATCCTGCCTCTACTTCTGCCTTTCCTCTCTGTTCCCATTACTGTCACTTCCTTCCTCTCCCCCATCATCCTCACAGCCAGGAGTTGAGTGGCTTAGAGCTCCAACAGTTGTGCCTCCTT